GACTACCAAATTAAGAGTTGTTTTTGACGGTAGTTGTTCTTCTTCTACAGGATGGTCGCTCAATGATCTTCAGCATATAGGGCCAAAGGTACAGAATGACATTGTTAGTATTTTATTGCGTTTCAGGACTTATGTTTACGTTGTGTCAGCTGATATAGCGAAAATGTATCGCTGTATTCTAATGCACCCTGATCACAGACCACTTCAACAAATTCTTTGGCGTGAAGACTCTAATGGAAATTTCTCCATTTACCAATTGAACACTGTTACTTACGGCACCAGTTTCGCACCTTATTTAGCTATAAAATGTTTGAAGCAATTAGCAATTTTAAATTATGAGCAATTTCCAGAGGCATGTAAAACCATTTTAGAGGACTTCTACATGGATGATCTTTTGTCAGGGTCCAATTCTCTTTCGGAATTGAATTTAAAATGCCTTCAAATATTTTCTATTCTAAAATCAGCGCAATTTATTTTGAGGAAGTGGGTCTCCAATGATAATAGGGTCATTTCAAATTTAGATGATCATAATATTCCTAATTCAATTTTAAATTTTGGGCCAAAGGAGGGCTTCAAAACATTGGGTATTCAGTGGATTCCAATTTCGGATAATTTATCCTATAAAATTAAAGAAGTTTCTTCCATCAAAATCCCAATAACTAAGCGAATTATATTATCTACCATTGCACAAATCTATGACCCATTAGGTCTTCTAAGTCCTACTATTGTTATTTCAAAAATTATTATTCAGCGTTTATGGTCATTGAAAATTTCCTGGGACAGCCCTATTCCTTCAGATCTAGAAAGGTTTTTTCATCAATTTCAAAATAATTTAAAGATTTTCAATTTCATCAATATCACACGAAATACTATTCCAAGAAATTTTAGTTTGATTGACATTCACTGTTTTTGTGATGCATCACAAGATGCATATGCAGCTGCTGTCTATTTGAGAAGTGCAGACAATTATGGCAATTTTGAACTTGGTTTATTGTGTGCAAAAATTAAGGTTGCACCTTTGAAAAGTCTCACCATTCCCAAGCTTGAATTATGTGCTAGTTTGCTTGGAGCTCAATTAATGGAAGTAGTTAAAAATTCTTTAAATATTCCAAATTCTATTCCTGTTTTTATGTGGTCAGATTCGCAAATATCATTAAGTTGGATCAAATCAGAATCGAGTGTTTTGCAAGTATTTGTTTCAAATAGAGTTGCTAAAATCCAATCATTGACAAATATAAATGGCTGGAAATATGTGGATACCAAACACAATCCTGCTGATCTAGCTTCCCGTGGTATAAATTCAGAGAAATGAATCCATTCAACTCTCTGGTGGGCAGGTCCTTCATTTCTTGAAAGTCCCATTTCCCATTGGCCGACTCACGATTACTATCTACCTCAAAATCAATTGCCAGAGTTGAAAAAAACTAACACTATTTTACAAATTATTACTGTTTCATGTTGTGAATTATTCGACAGATTCTCTGATTTACATAAATTAAGACGCATTACAGCTCTTTGTATTCGATTTTATAAAAACTTAAAAAATAAGAGAAGCAATTTTAGAAATCTATTACAAACTGGTCCAATTACTGTTAATGAATTAGAATCAGCAAACCAAGTTTTAATACGTTTAGCTCAAGCTGAATCATTTGTAACAGAACTAAAATTATTATCAAAAAATAAAACTCTAGAAAAAAATCATAAGTTTTCATCCCTGACTCCATTTATTGATAGTCAAGGTATTATACGTGTGGGTGGTCGTCTGAAAAATACTTATGTACCTTATGATACTAAGCACCCAATTTCACTTGCTTCGAAACATTCATTTACTTACGAAGTTAATTTTTCGAAATAAGCATTTATATTTGTTACATCCGGGTCCACAATTATTACTAGCCTCTATCAGACAATTTTATTGGACTATTGCAGGTCGCAATTTGGCAAGAAAAATTGTAAAAAATTGCATGACCTGCTTTAGATTCAAGCCTACTTCATTTACTTCGCCTATGTCTAGTTTGCCCAGATATTCGAATAAAGCCTTCATTACCTTTTGAAATAACTGGCCTGGATTATGCTGGGTCATTTTTTATTTTAAATAAAGCCGGTAGAGGTGCGAGGCCAATAAATGTTATTTAGCAGTCTTTGTATGTTTTTGTACAGAATCAATTCATTTAGAAGTGGTTTCTAATTTAACGACAGAATGTTTCTTAGCGTGTTCAAAAAGATTCACTTCGAGAAGAGGTTTGCCTTCAACTATTTACTCTGATAACCGCAGTACATTCGTTGGAGCAAATGGTGAGTTAAAACATTTTGGAAAATTTTTATATAAACATCAAAACTCTATTTTGGATCAAACTAGTATCGATAAAACTCGTTTGGTTTTCATACCATCTTATGCCCCTAATTTTGGTGGCCTTTGGGAAGCGGCTGTCAAAAGTGCTAAGCATCATTTGAAACGAGTTATCAAAAATAATTTAACATTTGAAGAATTCAATACGTTAGTGATTCAAGTAGAAGGAATTTTAAATTCAAGACCATTATTCGCCATGTCAACTGATCCTAATGATTTAGTGCCTATAACCCCTTCACATTTTCTTATCGGTCACCAACTAAACCATCCTTCAGAATGCAATTTGCAAGAAATACAATTTAATCGATTATCACGGCTGCAACATGTTCAAAAATTATTTCAACAATTTTGGTCTCAATTCTCAAAACACTACATTTCCCAGTTTCACACACAATATAAATGGAAAGACGCGCCTACCGAAATCCATGACGGAACTTTAGTATTGCTGAAAAATGATAAACGACCTCCACTGAAATGGCCACTTGGTCGTATAGTACGTCAATTTCCAGGCAAAGATGGTGTAACTAGAGTAGCTGAGGTCCTTACACAAAATGGAAGTATTACAAGATCAATTTGTCATTTATGTCCACTTCCTCTTCAGGATGAAACGAAACATTGAAAATATGTTTTAATAGTAGATTATACCACGAGTCAATAATGATAGCTATTATTCCCGAGGATTATTACGAACTGAGCCGCGTTAGCGGCGAGGAAGTAACATTCCGAGGGAATAATAGCCATTATTGCGAGTAGTATACTCTACTTTATTTACGACAAATTAATTTATTTGAGATTTTCAATGAACAAATTTCATCCGTCTCATAATTTGCAATACAAATCCACAAGCACTACACCTTTGACACTGACACTTTTGTGGAATAATGACCATTAATCCCGCTACTCGTCATTAATCCCTGGAGGAATAACATATGTCATTATACTGCCAAAATCACAAATATAATACGCACATTATACATTAGTCGTAAATAAAGACTATTTATACTGTTTTATTTTTTGTTCTCATTATTAATTTTCACATGTTTGAAGGTACCCTCCAAAAGGGGGAGTAATGTTTAATATTGTATTTATAGAATGCTTTGGCCACTACCCGCAGGTTGGTGGCATATATCAATCAATTATAGACTTGTCAGAAAGTAAAAAAAATATGTCACAATTTAAAAAATTCTATTCCTCAATTTAAGTCCATTCAAGTCGTCCTATCATTATTTCTCTTCCATTCCATCCAGAACAAAATCAATTAAACCAGAATCAAGTTGAACATAATCAATAGATATTCAAAACTGTTTTGATTTATTTGAAGCTGTAAATTAGGGTTATCTAGATAGTTTGATTGAATTTTATAAGTTTTGATTTGATGTTCACTATGTTAATTAACAAATGTTCAATTATTATTCAAGAACAGGCTTATGTTACGTAGAAGAATTTATTTCTATTATTTTCTGACAATCATTCCACTGGTGAGGATAAAATTACTTTCAGTTTTCTATAAACAGATGTTTTATTCTAATTTATTTGTATCACAGTAGGCTTAACATTTTATAGCCGGCAGAAACCAAACAGATCTCATATGGGTCAAGCGGAAGCACAGACACGAAATAGAAAAGTTTTTCCCCCGAAGGGATAAAAACTATTATTTCGAGTCTTGCTGAAGCTTGACCCATCCATTGAAGACCTTGCCGGCTTCAAAGGTACTGAAGTAGATCGTATACACGCTTGCTGGCCGACGAGAACAGCAGTACAGGGGAGCGCCGCTAGGAGGAGCAGGTAGGACGTGGCGTAGAGCTGGCAAGAAAAGGACACAGACACACAGTTTTGGGTGAATATGCATAAGGTAATCTCATATGGGTCAAGCTTCAGCAAGACTCGAAATAATAGTTTTTATCCCTGTTTCTGTTTAAATTTAAATTCATATAGGACCTACCTAGGTGAATGTTTCTGCTTCTTTGTATAATTAGTTAGATGATTACTCGATGATTTAGATTTGTTCTGTTTTGTAAAGATGTTGCTAGAACTTGCCCTCGAACTGGGCCTCAATAAAAAGTACTTTTTTACTATAAATAAAACATTTACGTCGAAAAAAATTATATTTTTTATCCATAACCCTTGTTAAACTGCCAAATTAAACTGCAAGGACGCGACGCAACACGCGACGGTCCGACCACCAAGTCATTGATGATGCAGTGTTGCCACATGTTTGTTCATGGCTGGATACGTAAAGACGGTTGTGCTAAGGGCAGTACGGAGAGAGGCTCTAAATACCTGAAGTGAGTTTTCTGTTCAATTAAATTGTTGTTAAGTTCAGACCAACCTTTTTTTTTATTCTTAAACAAACATTCTACTCATTTAGCACATTCTAGATCAAGTTGAAGACAACCTCTGCAGAATATCTAGTAAATTCTGAACCAGAGAGTAACCAGATCAACTGAATCTATAAGAACTTACCCTACCGTATGCGTAAGAAAGTTTCACTTCAAACAATGGATGAGAAAAAAGTGATAAACGAAAGATTTAGAGAAAAAAATGGAAAAAAAGATTTCTACAGCTTTTGTCATGGAACCAATATCTATTGTAGGACAGTATTAGTAAATATGGATGAGGTGTTCGATAAATTTCTTTAAAAAAATACCGTCTACGTACCTTTAATAGCATTCAAGACAGTTAAAACAACGGATTCCCATAGTTCGTCCGGATCAATTTCAACCGATCCAGGGTCAGGATAATGAAGATTTATCTAGAAGAAAATAAAAAACACAAAGAGGTATTAAAAAATAATTTGATAGAAATTTGAAGTAACGTAATAGGTACCTTATCGAAACTAGAGCCTTTGCAGCTGCCTCGATTATCGATGATCTGGCAGCGAATGGTAGTGGTGCCAATGTCTAGTGCAGCAATGTATCCTAGAGAGTCTCCGGCCATTTTTTAGGCATATTTTGTGGCCTAGAAAAACGAGGATTTTGAAAGATCAACAAATTAATGCAATTCATTGTCAAAGGTTTATTAGTTTCAAATTAGGTGGTATTACCAATGATTATTGCATTTTAATTACCTACACAAAATAGTTATTTTCCTAACAAGTGCGCAAAGTGTTACTTTTCCGCACGCAAACACAGTTATACGAACGACGCGAAGCGGAGTTCGGATACGTGTTTGCGTGCGGAAAAGACACTTTGCGCACGTGTTAGGAACAAATTTTTTCCTACGAGCTTCATATCAGGTAGGTAATAACAAAAATTTGAAAAAAAAACCGATAATTTGTTTAATTATTTTTAATTAACTTGAAGGGAACCTATGCATTTATCAAAAAATTACATAACAAAAAAAAATAACAGAAAATCCTCGTCAGAGCTGTTCATCTTAAAGCGTTTAAATTTGATGAGAAAGTTTGTAGATTTTTGCATATAAATAGAGAACAAATCTGATGTGTCAAAGTTAATTTATAATTGGTGTTTGTATAGATGTTGGCTGATATAGAAATAGAGGAAAAATTTGTCATCATGTGTCAAAGTCGACAGGTGCACTTATTGTTGCTTGACAATTATAATTACTTTTCGGCACTCAGTGCGGATAAGGCCTGTATCCGCACTGAGTGCGGAAAAGTGTAACTTTGAGCCCGGAAATGCGTGCGGAAAAGTACTACTTTGCGCACGCTCGTAGGAAAACAATTTTTTTTTATTTTCAAGAGGAGAAATTTTATAGACAGTAAGAGAATAAATATACAATTAGAGTTCCTTTTTGAATAATATGTCATCATGTAGTAGGTATATAGAAAATGTTGATGTTATAAATCTCTCAAGTTAATGGAGAAATGATGCACAATCTTGCAACATCTATCTTATGACTTAAAAATTCGCGAATTGAATTTAACCGCGCAATAATCCAGGGTATTCAAAACGATGGAAGCGAATTTATTTAAACAATTTTAAAGGTAACCACGTGCACGCAGTTATGGCATTTAAGGGTCAGTCGGTGATAAATCAGAAAAGTGAACTGTGGTTTTTTCAAGGAAAATAGAAGCAAATAACAAATATAGAGAAAGTCCAGGAACTACGAAATTGACCAGGACCAGAGAACAATCGTGAAATAAGCTTCCTAGGATTCTGAAGCTATTACCGCCGGTTACTCAACGGTTTTCGGAAGTTTGCGAGGGCACCAACCTGCTGAGAAGAACGGCTGAACGAGTTCCAAATGGAACATCGCAAAGTAAAAACCCAACCCCGACACGAAGGTCATGTATTAAGAACTCTTGCAAATGCTCATTCTGATAATGACATTACCACCGTTGTGCCATGGGCCATGGTAAAGACAATGCTACGTGAACTGCACAGTGATCAGAGTGGTCGCTAGTTTCGTGTCGACAGGGCGTTGGCTCGAGTGAGTAAGAGATAGTGGCTCAACTGTGCAGTGGCGTAACTTCAAATCCGGGCCCCCCCGCAAGGATTTTCCCGGGACCCATCTTTCATGTATTTTTTTTTCTTTCTAATTTTGCTTTATACAGGGTGTCCCTTTTAAGTGATACCACTATTGCTATCTCCGAGACGGTGAAAGGGACGACAGTGGCGCACCCAGAATTTTTTTTCGGGGGGGGAGGGGGGCTGGGGGCTTGACTGTAAAATATGTCGCAGGCGAAAATTTTAAGTAATGGATGTATCACATTCGTTATTTTGAGAAGACATTATAAGAAAGACATTTAATTAACTTGTTTTTTTATTACATATTCAAATCTTGCTTTAAAAAAAATGCATATTGACGTCTATGACGAAACCTAAGTTATAGGCTCGGTTATAGGGGATAAGAGGACACGCCCAAAACTTGAGTTATCATTCTACAGAAATAAAATCCGAAAGCATTCCTTTATTTTCAAGGAATTGAAGCATATACAAAATAATAATATGGGTAAAATAAAAAAAATAAGCGAGTCTGCTCGTAGGTACCGAGAACATCTCGTTCGGTGATAATAATAATACTAGGGGCGGGTATTAGAAACTATTTTAACAAATAACTAAAAACTGGAATGACTTGAGAATGAGATGTGACGTCATTCCAGAAGTTAACTTACAGTTAACTATAATACCCGCCCTAACTGGCAGCTCCAATCCTGGTGGGTTAATTCACTACACAAATTTACAGCGATCTACTATATCGACATGAATATCTAATGCTACTTCAGGCCGCAAGCGCTGAAGTAGCTGCGAACTAATCACTGCGCATGTCACATCCGCTTTCACACTTCTGTCCCCATTTCCCAAGATTTGCCGTCATTCCGCCGACAAAGTGTTTACGCATCAATAATAGAATATTATAATAAGCATGCTTTGGTAACTTCACCACAAACAAATTTAAAAGGATGAGCTCTAGTACTACTGGGTGTTTATTTATAACTGGGACACTCAGTAACTTTTTTATTATTGAAAATGAAGGGCATGTTTGAGTTGGTTAAGTTTTAATGGAACGCCCTGTATATTTTTGTTATCATAGTGTTTGATATTTTTGTGAAGCTTATTTTCGAAAAATTTTCTAAAATGCAAAAATATATAAGGCGATCCATTGAAAAAAATTACTTTTTTGGTTTATTTAAATAAAACATGAAAATTTACTGGAAATTTTTGAAATAGGTACTTTTTTTTGTCACATAAGCTCGGTGCGCTACTGAGGGACGAAGTAGGTTAAATTCAGAGACATGAGTATGGAATGGACTGCGTGTTCCGTATAGTTGCCGTACGCGGCAGTGATGGAAAGATGGTTAGGCAACCAGTCTTTCGCATTGTGGGCAAGAAGCTACTCAAGCGCATTACCCACAACGAGAAATAACACATAATTTCATTTAAAGGTGACATATATTACTTATCCATAGTGTATCAAACTAAATACCAGACGTGCTTAAATGTATGTGTTTTGTGCAGACCTGTGAGGCAAAAAAATAAAACAACACTTAAACGTTAGATAAAAAAACTTGTTATTCCTAAACAATTCTTGAGCAAATTCAAAGGCACGAAATACTAGATTGTAAGGTACAAATACTCATATGTAAACTTAAATTTAGGATTTAGATACAAAACTGATTTTAATTCTACTGGTTCTTAAAAATTACAAGTTTTGTATTATTGCATTTGCCTAACTCTATCAGTGATTCTACTTGCTTCCTTATTCTGATAATGGATTCTAACGAGAAAATAAACATGATTATTAATAGGATCTTGGTCCAATATATGATCACCAAGCTCCTTAAAATAATTGTGAATGTTCATGTCACTCATGGTCCATATTATAATTTTTTTGAGTGTAGTGTTTGGAGTGTAATGAGTACGAAATTTTATTTCGGCTAAACTGCACAGTTTTATTACATCTTCTGATGCCTTACGTAATCCCCCAAGATCTTTTCTATTTAGTAAAAGTGATGACGACTCATCAGAAAACAAAAAATTACAACAAATCGCGTATCTTACACTAACGTATAACAAGTACGCGCGGATTTCTGCCCCTAATGTGCAAATAGGGTTGCCTACCATGTTTACATCACTGTTCGTGCCGTACGCCTAGTCCATTTCATACTCATGTCTCTGGTTAAATTAGATAAAAGTGGCAGATTTTAGTATCCATTGAAGGTAAGTACACAAGGTTGCCAAGTTTTTATTTGTTTCCGAGATAAAAGGGAAAATGTAAAAAAAAAATTAAACTTATTTAATGAATACCTATTTCAAAATCTATTAACTTTAGAAAAAAGTGTTCATACAAAAGATTCAAGATTCTTTCTTCTCTACAAAATGGTGTCATTGTTATCTTCACACGGCTCGAAACAAACTTATAAATAAGCTAAAAGGCCGAATGGCATGGCCAAAAAATGAACTACCTAATATACAGGTTTGACAGGTCAACAACAGGCCAATTTTAATGCAATAGAATGAAATGTCTAGAAAAACTCTAAGGTTAAATAGAGAACGAAAGATAACGATTTCCCCTGTTCCACCTCCAGCAATCCCAGTGCTTTTTAGCCACCTTGTTGTTGTCTCCCTCCGTTTCGCGACGGGAGGCAGACCACATCTCACTCTAAAATCTAAAACGTTTTTCCCTTGTATAATGATTAACTATTATTGATGGGATATTCCATCTTTTGGTGTTAAAGTTGCTCAATATATTGGAATATAGAATATCATCCATAACTCTTTGGAATGTAGCCGGCATGCGCAAGAAATTATAATGCCCGTTTTCTGTGCTGAATGCGGTTTTTTCGATGTCGTTGTCTAGATCAAACTGTTTGTCAAAGTGGTTATAGCAAAAACAACAAAAACATAAAACACACAGCAGGTGTGCAGCGCGTGCCCCACACGCGGGCGGCCATATCTAGGGGCGGCCGCAGGCCGCCTATTATTCTGTTATTCAAGATTCAAGTAAAACTTTTCACGAATTTCTAAAAATAAAACTACTTCTAATAAAGAAATAAGCTGAAATTTAAAAAACTCCTGAAAAACGAAAATAAACCCCGATCTCCTGATAGCATAAATAGGAAATTTTAGTGCCCAGTCAATGTGTAGGCTCAAGAATAATGTTTTAACTCTGTACACATCCATCATAAAATCGCATAATTTATTAAATTTCCTAAATACTTCTGCTTTGTTTTTTCAAAATGTTTATTTTTGTTCCCAATTCACCTAATTCTGTAAGAATAATTACTAACAGTCCAACAGAACTAGATGAATACTCCCGCTAACAATATTACCAACTTTTTTGATATAGTATTTCCAAACTTGATTGGAACAAGGTACCAATTGGTGGCTCACTAGTCACTGAAAATTTCCATAAGAAATGCACTGCCACTAGTCAGCCACCAGTTATAATTTATGGTTCACCTTGTTCCAATTAACTTTGGAAAACTATACCAAAGACTTCCAAGTGCAGGTGGGTATGTTATGTAGGTATGTATTACGACTAGGGACTGGGGTGCCTTGATTTTC